ACCTGTCTGCCCAGATCCCTGCCCTGTGCTGGACTCAACCACTTGTCTGCCCGGATCCCTGCCCTGTGCTGGACTCAACCACTTGTCTGCCCGGATCCCTGCCCTGTGCTGGACTCAACCACTTGTCTGCCCAGATCCCTGCTGTATCAGCTGGATTTGACCCTTGCTACATCCTACCCTGGTCTGCCTAGATCCCTGCCTAGTGTGCTGGACTTAACCACTGCTATGCTGTATTCACCCTGTGGGCTGGGTACATTCCCCTTGCCATACCGTCTGGTGGCCTGGTGTACTGGTTCTCCATTTTGCTTGGCCATCCTACATGGACTATCTATGTGGTATTACATTGCTACCTGGTGGACTATTTTGTTGTGCTGTGTCTTGTTATCCATACTGTGCCCTCACATTCCCCAATATACCCCGTATGTCAGGTTTTGTGTGATCTGCCCTGTGTGCTCTCTCTCTGCACTTCTAGTTTATCACTAGTGATGGGGCTGAACACCCCCCGGTTCAGTTCATCTTAGAACATTCGAACAGACCAAAAGTTCGCAGCCAACATCGAACCTATGGGACTCAAACTTGAAAATTCAAAAGTGCCCATTTTGAAGGATGATATGCTAGGTGTTAGCAATAAAAGTGGTATGGGGACTCGGGATCTGCCCCGATGGACATGAATCAGTGGAAAAAAATTCTAATAGTACAGTTTTTAAAGGGGCAGTCATTTTTCATTGCTTAAAGTAAAAAAAAAATATATATTAATTTAAATATCATGCCTTGGGGGTCCCTTAAACTACCTGCAAAGTTGCACATCTGTACAATGTATAGAACCTGCTACAGCAGGACTGACACCGTAACCCTTCAGAGTTATTCTTGACAAGTGCAGGATTGGACCCGGCTCTAAAAATTCTAATTATATGTAATGCACCTCTCATACAGGTATAGAAACATGTGGCCTTCAGTGTTGATGGTGGCTGAACACTGTGTCCCCTCACAGTTACTATTGCTGGGTGCAGTCATGGGCCCTGCAGTTAAAAACTGTTAAAAATTATAGAAAAAAAATTATCCAGGATTGATTCTTGTTGATAAATGTCAGCTGGTCAGCGGAGTCTGTGGACAGACGCACTCTTATCCATCACAAAACCTCCAGCAGCACTGAATGTCCGTTCAGAAAGCACGCTGGATGCAGGATGCCTGCAGCTTGATGGCATATTGAGCAAGTTCTGGCCAGTGATCCATCCTCAAGACCCAGTAACCCAGTGGATGCTCAGTTGGAAAGGTCTCCAAGTCTGTTCTTGCCCCTAGATAATCCTGCACCATATGATGCCAGAATGAAGCCTCAGAAACACGTTGTCCAGGAAATGGTGACCTCCCAGTGTCTGGAAAGGTGTTACACAATTTCAAGGCATCCTCAGGATGTTTCATCCTCTGCTCCCTCTGGGAAGACTGGATGAGCTCTGCACCTTGACCCTTGTAACGTGGATCAAGAAGGGTTGCCAACCAGTAAAGATCTCGCAGACACTTTGAGGAAATCTTGAAAATGAAAGATGTACACACAGTGCGCTGGTTATGCAGCAAAGTCGAGGCCTTGTGTGCTTTTCTGCAACACTGGAAGACAGTAGGGAGCCATTCTGAGCAGATATCATCTGAGGGATCATGTGAATCTGCTAAAGTTAAAGGCATCCTGAAAGACCTGAAACAGATGACGTTTGTGAAACTTTTGCATTTCCTATTCGATTTTTCTAGCAAGCTGAAACCTTTGTCAGAGGGTCTTCAGAACAAGGAACTTATGATCTGTCAGGTAAAAAACAAACTAGAACAAGCAGCTAAAACTCTTCAGGATCTTTCTGATGGGAAAGGAAAAAAATGAACTTGAATTTCTTAGTAAGTTTACAGAAGATGGAAAACGACATGGGCTGCAGCTGACCAACCTTCAAGCTGGTGACAGAATTTCAGTCTATACGCCAATCTGTATTGGCCAAAGCAGAAAGAGATTTCATTTTGAGGCTTTCCTCGTTCTCCTCAGATATTGTACAATCTGTCCATATATTGAACAGCGTGTCTTGGCCAGACAAAGCTCACATCCCCAACTTTGGATGGACTGAGTTGCACAGAATTGCAAAACATGTTTTTGATAATCAGTTTGAAGACAAAATTGAGCTGTTAGAAGCAGAGTGGGCTGACCTCAAACTCTCCATTCAAAATGGACTCTTTTAATTGAGACTCTGAAAAGACTGAATCAGCAGAAAGAAAGATTCAGCAACATACTCCCTCTGTTCAATTTCTGTGCCGTACTTCCCCCAACAACCGCCTCATGTGAACGTGGCTATAGCTACCAAATCAGAATAAAGACGGTCTATCGTTCATCACTGACACGGGAGACTTTGGATGATCTTCTGATGATTGCTGTTAATGGACCACCACTAAAAGATTACAATCCACACACAGCCATTGGAGTGGTATTTTGTATCAGAAAGGGGACGTTACACAAGTCTTGGTCCTGCTGTACAATGAAAACCATAGCAAATCTTGATGTGAAACTGGCTTCCTACTGCTTTTTGGCATCCAAAAAAAAATCATTTTTTGGTGTTTTTTTTTCTTAATTGAATAGAATGCAATCCACACACAGCCATTGAAGTGGTATTTTGCATCAGAAAAAGGGTATTACACAAGTCTTGGTCCTGCTGTACAACACAAAAATCTTGATGTGAAACTGCTTCTACTGCTTGTTGGCATCCCAAAAAAAATGGTGTTTTTTCTTCATGAAATAGATTGCAATCCACACACAGCCATTGTGGTTTTTTGCATCAGAAAAAGGGTATAACACAAGTCTTGGTCCTGCTGTACAACACAAACCATTCTTAATGCTACTACTTCTCTAAGCTCTCTTTTAATAACTATTGGAGATAAAAAATGCAAAATGTTTTTGTTTGGCATCTAAATAAGCACTTTTTTGTTTATTCTTAATGCACTACTTCTCTAAGCTCTCTTTTAATAAGATGCTGGAGATAAAAAATGCAAAATGTTTACTATTGTTATTTATGTTTTTTGGCCATCAAAAGAGGCACTTTTTTCTTTTTTCTTAATGCCGCACTTCTCTAAGGTCTCTGCTGGAGATAAAAAATACAACATGTTTACAGTAATTATTATTCCATGTTTTTTTGGCATCAAAATAAGCACTTTTTCTTATGCTATACTTCTGTAAACTAAACTTACATCCTTTAAAAGAGACTTTACTGCAGTTACTAAAGATGCAGGAGATAAACAAAAAAAATACAAAATGTTCACTCCAGGTTTAAAGCTGTAAAACTTGATATTTTGATTGCACCCGATTGCTATTAAGCTATTGCTGTGATGTTTAAATTGACATAATAAAGTTATAATTGCAGTTTTTTTATATTTTGGACTCTTTATTCTAAAGAAAAATGTAATTTCATAAGCTTTAAGGGGGGTGTGGTTGGGGGCAGGGCTAGGGACAGGGTTGGGGGATGGGCTGGGGGTGGGGTTGGAGGTGGACCTGGGCAAGGTTGGGTGGGCAACTGGTGGAGAGTAAGGATTGTGCCTGGCTAGTAGGTCTAGACTCAAAATGGTTTATCCGGATGTATACAGTATATATATGACAAGGTAGACTACTTCATGTAACATTACATCTTCATCTCAGATTGTAAGCGGATTGGATTGGCCTGTGTATGGGATTCCAGATCAAGTCATGGCAAGGTACACGTTGAGCGTTGAATATCTGGGTGTAGAGAGATCACGGGGGGGGATTTGTATATCTGTTGTCACATGTTGCTGAGTTACTGATTTCTTACACGACATTTCCAGACAGTTGGATGTAATTCATTAATATTTGGAAGTAATTGCTGGCTTGTATTTCTCCCCATTATTGTGGATTAGATCATTGTACTGTTATCTTGTATTGTTTATTATTTATCATCACCTATTATATTTCATCCCCATTTTGTACTGATTTATATTATTAATAAATATATATTTTTGCACATTATTGTGTTTTATTTTGTCTTCCAATTATCACAAATACAGAACTGGGATGTCGGTTACTTTGTGAGAATTAGTAGGGAATCTCCTTCATTCCAGATCCCGCCTGTTTCCATGAATTGTATACGGATTATTTCTCACAGATAAAGTTCTGACAATTTGTACCGTTCTGGTGTTTTTGATCCTCAGAAATGAGATCTGCCGTCATCAGACATGATGGATTTTCAGACATCTATCCCATAGTTTGTAGACTCTATAACTCTCCTACACACTGAATCATAGACACTGATTGGGGTTATTGTACCCAAGAAATGGCGCAGAATACACCTTTGTCTACATTTATAAGGAAAGACCGATTTATTTGTAAAAACAAGAAACAAGCAAAAATGGTAAAAAGTGGTGTTTAAATACCACCAAAATAAATATCTATTTGTGTGAAAAAATTACAAAAATATAATTTGGGTACAATGTTGCATGACTGTGTAATTGTCATTCAAAGTGTGAGAGTGCTGATAGTTACCAGTCGGCCTGGGCAGGAAGGGGGTGGAAGTGTCCGGTATACAGGAGGTAGAAATATTTATTTTTAAACAGACCTCTAAGTGTTTGTGAAATCTCCCACCACAAAATGTACTCAGCCAATCACAGGGCAGGACTCCATTTTTATTCTTCTCCTGCCATCAATGGGCCAACCGGTCCCACACTTCATCCATGTCTTTTGGGGACCTCTGATCTCCTTATGAACTGTTTCTTCCATGATGAAGATCAGCCATGGAGTATATCTGAGGTGTATATCAGGGTGTGCTTCTTCCCCACATGAGAGCTGGGATGTCCAGCAACATTCATCTAGAAGACATTTCCCGCACTCAAGGCACTAATACACCTCCAGGGTTGTGTGGGACCCCTGATGTACAGAAAGACAGGACTTCAGTGAGGAACATTTCCCTCACTCAGGACAGGGAAGTGGCTTCTCCCCTGTGTGAGATCTCTGATGTCTGAAAGATGGGACTTCACTGAAAAACATTTCCCACACTCAGGACAGAATATGGCTTCTCCCCTGTGTGAGATCTTTGATGTGTGTAAAGACTGGACTTCACTGAAAAACATTTCCCACACTCAGGACAAGAATATGGCTTCTCACCACCTGTGTGAGACCTTTCATGTTTGACAAGATCTGATTTTTGTGCAAAACATTTCCCGCACTCAGGACAGAATATGGCTTCTCGCCTGTGTGAGATTTCTGATGTCTGCACAGATGGGACTTCCTTGAAAAACATTTCCCGCACTCAGGACAGGAATACGGCTTCTCCCCTGTGTGAGATCTTTTATGCTCATTAAGACCGCATTTATAATGAAATCCCTTCACGCACTCAGTCAGTACAAACCTCTTCCCTGTTGGAAGGCCGGCCCGGTCCCGCACAGTCTGAGGTTCCTCAGGATACGAGGAATCCGATGGTCCATCTACACTGGGTGGTGCCGGATGGACATTGGAGGGAGCCGGGTTTTCTCCTGGACTATACTGTGTGATGTCCTCATCTTCTACTTTCCAGTCTGGAGACAAAGTGAGACAATCCTCGGAGGTTTTCCTCATCTCCCGGCCATGGACTAAAATACAAAGACAAAGAGGATTACTAGACAGGAGCTGATTGGTTTCCCCCAAACCAGGACTCCGCCCACATCAGGCAGCTTGGTCTCTGAGGAGCTTACAATTCCACCCTCAAAGGGAACTAGGAAATGGCTCCTCTGATCTCCTACCAGGTCATTTCTTTATTCATGGACCTTAGTCAGAGAGTGAGGAAACAACCAGAACTGTCTTTTATAGGAGGGACAGTGATGAGGGTATTATAGGACGAGGGTCCCCACCCCCTCTATCACTCATCGCCGTCTTCCCAACACAAGAAGTACTGCACTTCCTTATTTACTCCATGATTTAGTCATGAAGAACAGCGGGGCTGAGCCCCACCAGAGGTCAGAGAGTGAGGATGGGGGGAGAACAACCAAGATGAAGACTGGACTGATCCTGAAGACCACCATCATTGGGGTATTGACTCCTCCCTCATTTATCACTTTCTGTTTAAGGGTCCAAAGTTGGAGGATGTTATCACATTATTATCACCATGTAAAAGTCTGTGCTCCAATCACATCATCCGATATAAAATGTCCAGCTGGGAGGAAATGGGGGGAACATGAGAGAATCCATATTATCTGTATATATAGCAGTGGGGGGAGGGGGAGAGCAGACGTCAGGAGTATGTAATGTACAACATAGAGTATATAGTGAAGGGGTCAGGAGTATGTAATGTACAATATAAATTATACAGTGTAAGGGTCAGGACTCATAATATTGTATTCAGTAATCAGTGGAAGATTAAATGTTTACTGTAGACAAGTTGCAGAGATCCCACACCGCTGCCTCCCATCTCCTGAGACTGCACTCAGTGACTTGGTCTGAGACACTACAGACATATCCCTCCACCCGGCACAGCCAGCAGACCACAGAGCAAGGAACCCTGGGAGAAATGTTCTGTCAGAGATCTTACTAGACCCGGGCATGGGGAAGACTACTCAAATCACACACCCCAGGTGCCTAGGTCAAGTAACACTTATGGTGAAAATGAACATTTTGCTGCCAGCTGAACCCCAGAACCTCCATAAATCCAGTCTAGAGACATAAATTGTGTCTGCAGCACAGAGAAGGAAGATTATCCGAGAGAAATCCAGGAATACAGGACGGGGAACACAGCTCAGGAAAGTGACCAGGGGATTACAGGCTGATATCACCCAGTCCCCGCCCTACTCTGGACCAATCAGTGAGCAGTATGGGTGGAGGAATGGATTTAGTGTTCATGACCCACCTGTGCTGATCTCTGTAGGAGTGTCCTCCTCTATAAATGTCCCCGTTATTCCATCCTCCTCCATAGACTGCTGATCATCCCTCACATACGCCTCTTCTTCTTCTGATTTCACCTCAACTTTTATATATTCACCCTAAATCAAGAAAATTAGAAATTTCACATAATAAATAAATATAAGCTAACATGAAAAATACCCATATTATCTCCTCAAGTCCATGTTCTAGATGCTCCATCCCACCAACCTTGTAACAGTGAGGGATGGTGTGACCTTCCTGTGTGGAATCCCGGGAATACAGAGGACGGGGACATCTCTCTGGTGGGTTCCTGGTATTAGGTGGCTCCATCATATCCTTGTGTCCTTCTGAAAACTCCTCCATCACTCCATACTCCTCATCCTCCTCTTTATACTCTTCTTTAACCTCAACTTTAGGATCTCTCAGGTTTCCACTCTGAATATATAATAAAAATGACATCAATGGTAACAATGCAGATAATGTACAGATCCTAATGATACTATCAGTGATTGTTCCTCATCTACCTGATGATGGTGAGGGATGGTGTGACCTTCCTGTGTGGAATCCCAGGAATACAGAGGACAGGGACATCTCTCTGGTGGATTCCTGTAGCTGGATGACTCCACCATGGTGTCCTGGTACAGATCTTTGTGATCCTTTGGACGCTCTGACTCCTCCATCCCCCCATCCTCATCCTCCTCCTCTTTTATCTCTTCTTTAACTCAACTTTAGGATCTCTCAGGTTTCCACTCTGATATATAATAAAAATGCCATCAATGGTAACAATGCAGATAATGTACAGATCCTAATGATACTATCAGTGACTGGATAATATCCCAGAATTCCCGGCACCGCTCACCTCTCCTGTCAGCAGCTCCATCATCTTCTTGGTGACTTCTAGAATCTTCTGCATGTTGTGTCTCTCAGGGTTTAGGGAGTCACATGGAGGCACTGTGATGGTCATATGATCACCTGACTTCAGAAGAGGAAATCTCTGTATTGAGGAACCAATAGGAATATCATGTTAGACTCCCAGAATCCTCCTCACCTCTCCGGTCAGGTCTGTGTTTTATTAATAGAGATGAGAGTGATGTCATGTGACCTCCCAGAATCCTCCTCACCTCTCCGGTCAGCAGGTAGATGATCTCCAGGGTGAGGTTTAGTATCTTCTCAGTCATGTGACTCCGGTCCTCCTCCATCCTCATTGGTGCCATCATGTGATCTATACAGGTCTCCTTGTAGACGGATAACTTTGGGAAATGAAAGTAAGAATGATTTGGATGGTATTGGTCACACAATAATAGGATGTGGATGTGAGGGGGGAATAGGAGGGTTGCTGGACATTGAAGAACTACCCCCCCATGGGAAGACATTTTGTTTGGACTGTTTAGTGTTTACTACAATTTTGGGGTCCGGGGCCCCTTTTCTCTGTTGGGTTTGTTTGGTCTCTGAACTGGTTTTGATGAGTATTAGATCTGCAGACAAGGAATGATAAATCTGATCCTTCCTATGACTAGTTTGCTCTGAGGCAGTGCTGTGAGGTCAATGTCGGCTCATCATGCAGGGATGGTCACTTTACATCACCCGACGCCCGGGATATGTAGTTCTGGGGGCCGGGCAAGTATTGTGTTTAATCTTTATCCCTGCTGAGGGCAAGCCGCAGGGCTCTCCTTTCAGGTGCCAGCCTCTGCCACCCCGTGTGTGTGTGATCCTCTCCTGTACCTACTATGCTTCCCCGGCTCTGCTTGCCCATCTGTGGGCCCGGGTCAGCGGGTGTCGGAGGGTAGAGGGGATGGAGGAGAGCGGACATGTTCACTCCCTTCTTGTCCTGACCCAGAAGTGACGTTATGACAGATTTCCCGACCATCGAGGCCGGCAAAGAATGTAATGCGGTGTGATGTGCACTACATTACATCCAATGGAGTACAGGGGAGACATTGGGGGTCTTTTACACCCTGGATGTCCCAATAAAGAGAACCTGTCATCAAAAGTCATCACATAGAGACTTTGTCCCCTTAAGTAAAAATGTTTTTTTTAAATGTAAAGAATTAAAGTTACACCCAAGTACATAACTCCTCCCCTTAAAAAATTTGAAGCCCCCTCCCCCCACCCCCACATATATGCACGCCCAAACATAAGAGCACACGCTGGAGCGCCTACATGTGATAACATTGATTGTGATACACGTTACATATCGTCGGTCACACCAGAATGAGAGGATAATTCTAGGAGCAGACCTCCTCCGTACTCTATACTGATGACCTAGAAGGGGCTATAAATGTGTCCCCTATAGATAATACCGGGGACTAAAGGTTGTCACCATTTCAGCACACACAACTTAAGGTTTGACATGTTGGATATCTATTTACTCGCTGCAACCTCGGCTTTTATATTTTTACACATAAATGGGTCATTTATTGCTTTTTTGTGCCCTGAAATCAGCTTAAGTGTATTTTTTACTTAAATTTGGCATTTCCTAGACTTTGTGATAATATTTTGTGATATAAAAAAATAGAACTGCCGCTATTTTATTCTCTAAAGTCTCTACTTTCAGAAAATCTATATTTTGGGGGTTTTGTGTCATCTTCAGGATAAAATGATTTTTTAAATGTGCAAAAACAGCTCTGGGAGTGAAAGGGAGAAAGGATAAGCCGGACACACTCCCCTTTCCTGAGGAGCAGCGAATCAGTTCTCATTACACTGCAAGGTCTCTCCCCTCCCTGCTAGTCCCGGGGTGCGGTGCTGGAGACAGGCGGGGGAGGGGAGGAGGAGATAAACAGAACAATGTTACACATATTACACATTTAAGTTGCTATAAAGCTCCTTTCATTGCTTAAACCCCCAACATTCCTAAAAGAGCCTCAGATTTATATACATTTGTTGTAAATAGGAAATAAACATCTTATTACCTCCTCTGCTGCCACTTCCACCACCGTCTCCTCTTTACTTCTTCCCGCCTCACCTCTCTTCTGGAACGTCCTGTCTGTCCTGACATCACTTCCTGTCTGTGCCTGACATCACTTCCTGTCTGTGCCTGACATCACTTCCTGTCTGTGCCTGACATCACTTCCTGTCTGTGCCTGACATCACTTCCTGTCTGCATTCCATAGAGACTTCCTGTGTGAGTATAGGTGTGATCATCACCTTGTGGAGTTCAGAGGAACTGCAGCCCCGAGATCCATCCCATAATCCCCCTTCCTGTATAATATGTACCTTACAGGGATACTACGGGAGATGAAACATTACTGAATAAAGGAAGAAGAAATAAATGTAACTCTTATGTAACCAACTGTTCAACAAACATCTCTTATTACATATAGAAAAGTCTTACTGTAACGGAAGCGTAGGCAGGACAGAGCACACGGAGAAGATGGGGAGCACACAAAACTTTATTGAAACAACAAATTGATAGACACTCAATAGGGAAATGGCAGGGAGGGTGATGTGTGCGCAAACCAGGGACAATTCCAGGCACAGGGGGGGTCTTCAGGCAATCTCCCCCCTTTAGGCTTGGGGCCTCAGCCGGGCTCCCTCCGTGACTGGACAGCGGATTGGAGACTCGGGCAACAGGCGACAATCTACCCCTGGGCAGGGGCTCGGGCAACAGACGGCAACCTACCACTGGGCAGGGGCCTCGGGCAACAGAAGGCAATCTACCCCTCAACAGGGGCTTGGGCAACAGACGGCAACCTACCACTGGGCAGGGGCCTCAGGCAACAGACAGCAACCTACCACTGGGCAGGGCAACAGACCTCGGGCAACAGACGGCAACCTACCACTGGGCAGGGGCCTCGGGCAACAGGCGGCAATCTACCCCTGGGCAGGGCCTCGGGCAACAGACAGCAACCTACCACTGGGCAGGGGCCTCGGGCAACAGACGGCAACCTACCACTGGGCAGGGGCCTCGGGCAACAGACGGCAACCTACCACTGGGCAGGGGCCTCGGGCAACAGACGGCAACCTACCACTGGGCAGGGGCCTCGGGCAACAACAGACGGCAACCTACCACTGGGCAGGGGCTCGGGCAACAGACGGCAATCTACCCCTCAACAGGGGCTCGGGCAACAGACAGCAACCTACCACTGGGCAGGGGCCTCGGGCAACAGACAGCAACCTACCACTGGACAGGGGCTCGGGCAACAGACGGCAATCTACCCCTCAACAGGGGCTCGGGCAACAGACAGCAACCTACCACTGGGCAGGGGCCTCGGGCAACAGACAGCAACCTACCACTGGGCAGGGGCCTCGGGGACTCAACGGGACTCTAGCTGTGGAGGCTGGCCACAGCACAGCTCCCACCCAGCTTTCTAGGGTCATTGGGTTCACGGGGACTCAACAGGTAGCGATGGCTCAAGCACTCAGGGGCACCACAGGTAACTATACTCCGGGCATGCCATCAGGACACGGGTGGTCAGTGCACACACAGGGGGCGGTTCGGAACACGGGTGGTCGGTGCACACATCGGGGACAGTTCAGGACACGGGTGGTCAGTGCACACAGCAGGAACAGTTCAGGACACGGGTGGTCAGTGCACGCAACAGGAACAGTTCAGGACACGGGTGGTCAGTGCACACAGCGGGGACAATTCAGGACACGGGTGGTCAGTGCACACAGCGGGGACAATTCAGGACACGGGTGGTCAGTGCGCACAACAGGAACAGTTCAGGACACAGGTGGTCAGTGCGCACAACAGGAACAGTTCAGGGCACTCACGGTAAGCAGCTTGCAGACCCTCAGCGGCAGGCGGCTCCAGACAGGGATGACCAGCGGTCAGCGTTCCAGGGACAACCAGCGATCAGCAGACAGTAGCAGCTCCCAGGGCACTCAGCAGAAGACAGCCTCCAGGGACACGCAGCCACGGATAGTATGCAGGCCCCCTCAGCAACAACTCCCAGGGCATTCAGCAGCAGCAGACAGGGTGCAAGGGTGCTCAGTAGACAGGCTTACAGACTGGCAGGGGTTTCAGTTGTGGGGTCTGACCTTTGAGGAGAAGGCTCATGCAGAGCTGTGGAGACTCCCAACCCCGAGGTATTGCAGAGGGCTACAGTCCTGACCTTTTGGGGGTCTGCAGAGCGCGCTGGGGAGACTCGGTCCCCCTCACCCGAGCCTCCCAGCATCTTTCTGGGAGCAGGATGATTCTACCCACATGGCCAGGAACAAAAGGGAAGCTGCTTCCTGTGTGGGTCTCTTGAAGATCATGTGGGACGCGGCTAGGTTGCCTCGGCAACGGCTGGCCCAGCCCTGTCCTGTCCATGGAAGACCCACAGACCTTCTATCCACTCATAATGACATCATCTTCTGGGAGTGTCTGCACATCCATCCATTTCATACACATTTCATTGTCTCAGCAGATCTCCTGCAGCCTATTAGCTCCCATTTCCCTTTCTATGTCTCAGCAGATCTCCTGCAGCCTATTAGCTCCCATTTCCCCTCTCTATGTCTCAGCGGATCTCCTGCAGCCTATTAGCACCCATTTCCCTCTCTATACGTCTCAGCGGATCTCCTGCAGCCTATTAGCTCCCATTTCCCTTTCTATGTCTCAGCAGATCTCCTGCAGCCTATTAGTGCCCATTTCCCTCTCTATGTCTCAGCGGATCTCTCCTGCAGTCTATTAGCACCCATTCCCTCTCTATGTCTCAGCGGATCTCCTGCAGCCTGTTAGCACCCATTTCCCTCTCTATTGTCTCAGTGGATCTCCTGCAGCCTATTAGCTCCCATTTCCCTCTCTATGTCTCAGCAGATCTCCTGCAGCCTATTAGCACCCATTTTCCCTCTCTATGTCTCAGCAGATCTTCTGCAGCCTATTAGCTCCCATTTCCCTCTCTATGTCTCAGCAGATCTCCTGCAGCCTATTAGCTCCCATTTCCCCTCTCTATGTCTCAGCAGATCTCTGCAGCCTATTAGCACCCATTTCCCTCTCTATGTCTCAGCAGATCTCCTGCAGCCTATTAGCACCCATTTCCCTCTCTATGTCTCAGCGGATCTCCTGCAGCCTATTATTAGCTCCCATTTCCCTCTCTATGTCTCAGCGGATCTCCTGCAGCCTATTATTAGCACCATTTTTCTCTCTATGTCACACATTACAACAAGCAGTCACAAAGGTAAATGTAAAATAAAAGCAGAGAGGGAGAGAAGGCTGATAAAGCAGCTCATCGATGAGAGGTACATAAGAACATACAATGTCAATACAAAACAGTGACATGGCATCAATCACAAACGATCGGAGCAGACAGATCGGTGTCATAGGTGTCCCGTGGGTCCTGAACTGCCTCCAGCGCAGGGACAGTAGCAGGGTGTAAAGCAGGTAGGTACTCCAACTTTCTCATTTCTGCTCTGACCTTCATCAGTGCCGGTAACATGGGGGACATAGAAGACAGCCAATGCATGGGAATGGTTCTCCTGGCTGCCCTCAGAATGTAGGTGGAAAGTTTCCTCGCACATTTAGAGAGACCCGAAAAGGTAGACCCAACAGAAAGTAAATGGGCTCAAAAGGGACAGGAGCCCGCAGAAGTAACCACAATGGGGTAAGGACCTCCTCCAAAAGGGCGCAATGGACCGGCAATCCCAAAAAATGTGGAAAAGAGTGTCAGTTTCCGTCCCACAACACCAGCAAAACAGAAGAAACATTCAGGTTACTATCATGGAGAACCTCAGGGGTCCGATACCAAAACATGGGGGTCTTAGAAGGATTTTCTGTACACATTACACACACACAGAAGATTTAGAAGAGGCCTCCCAAATCCTACTCCATTGATCCAACCCAATATCACATTGAAGGAAACGGGACCATTTACACATATAAAGGGGAGAACCAATAGAAAAAGGGCGACATCTACAAGCAATGTATACGTAGCGGAAATGATGTCCCGGTGGTGTGGGCCTTGGATGCAGATATGATCTAAAGGGGTAGGTTGTTCAAGAGTCAGAGAAGAGGCTTTGGAGGCAAAAATGTGTTGTATCTGTAGATAAAATACTGATGGGGTGGAATGCGAGCAGCTTTTTGAATGTCGGAAGGATTTAAGGTTGTGAATTACGGGATTGACCAAATGTTGCAATTGGAATAGATTAACCTCAGCCCAAGGAGGCACTCGACCAATGGCCAGACTATCTGGGAGACTTGGATTAAAAATGATGTTGGTCAAGGGGGAACACTTAGAGCCTAGGATGAATCTAACCCTACACCTCCTCCATATAGACAACATAAACTGCATGGGTCCTAATATGAGAGGAGAGGTAGTGCGGGCTGTGACAAAATAAGTCCCCCTCATTCCCTCTTTACACCAAGTCACGGCCAGATGTGCACGCCTCGGTTAGCTAGTCGCTGTGGCGTGTGCATGTGGGTGGGATCTGTGACAGCCTCTGATGACTCCTCTGTCATCCAATAAAGCTGATGGACCTCAGATGTCTTCCTTGTCCTACGATGAAGCTGATGGACCTCTGATGTCTCCCCCCTCTGATAAAGCTGATGGACCTCTGATGTCTCCCCTGTCTCTACAATGAAGCTGATGGACTCTGATTTCTCCCCTGTCTCAGATGAAGCTGATAGACCTCTAATGTCTCTCCTGTCCTCTGATGAAGCTGATGGACCTCTGATGTCTCCCTTGTCCTCCAATAAAGCTGATGGAACTCTGATGTCTCCCTTGTCCTACAATGAAGCTGATGGACCTCTGATGTCTCCCCTGTCCTCTAATGAAGCTGATAGACCTTTGATTTCTCTCCTCTGTCCTCTGATGAAGTTAATGGACCTCTGATGTCTCCCCTGTCTCCAATGAGGCTGATGGACCTCTGATGTCTGACCCCTATCCTCTGATGAAGCTGATGGACCTCTGATGACTCCCCTGCCCTCTGATAAAGCTGATGGAACCTCTGATGTCTCCCTTGTTCTACAATGAAGCTGATGGACATTTTGATTTCTCCCCTGTTCTCAGATGAAGCTGATAGACTTCTAATGTCTCTCCTGTCATCTGATGAAGCTGATGGACCTCTGATGTCTCCCCCCACAACGTGCTGTCAACAGCCCTTGACTCACTAGCGCCTTTAACCACATGCAACATCAGACCCCGACCGCTCCAGCCCTGGCAGACTGATCACACCCAAAACCCTCAAATGACACAGTTGTGCCCTGGAGCAACGATGGTGCAAAACCAAATCCCAACAAGCCTTCACCCGCTACAAATCTGCCTTCCACACCTACACCTACCTCCCAATGCAGCCAAACAAGCCTACTTTCCTGACCCTCATCAAGGCCCTCTCCTCCAATCCTCGCCGACTCTTCTCCACCTTCAACTCTCTACTCTCGCCACCCCCACCTCCACCCAGCACCTCACTCACTGCCCTTGAGATTGCCAATCACTTCAAAAACAAGATTGACACAATTCACAAGGACATCGCCACAACTCACACGCCCTCTCAACCCGTCCCCTCTCACACAGCTACCCCCTCATCCCCCCCCCTCCCCCTCGACATAACCTCAGGGACTTCGTCGCTGCTCAAACTCCCTCCAACCCCGTTCTCCCTCACTCAGCTACCCCCTCATCACCCCTCTCCTTTTTCCCCACCACTGCTCTGACCTCCACTTCCACCCCACCCTACATTCCTCATACTGAAGCCCCCCCAACACTCCGCACCTTTGACCTTACTACCATCGAGGAAGTCTCCAAGATCCTCTCTGATGCCCGCCTCACCACCTGCCCCCTCGAACCTATCCCCTCACAACTCCTACGCCCTCCCTCCCCCTCCATCCTACGCTCCCTCACCCACATCTTCAATCTCTCCCTCCCCTCCGGCACTTTCCCCTCCCCTCTGAAACATGCACACATCACCCCCATACTTAAAAAGCCCTCCCTGGACCCCAATGACCCGAACAACCTCAGACCCATCTCCTGCTCCCATTTACATCCAAACTCCTCGAGCGCCTAGTCTACACCCGCCTATGCTCTCACCTCAACGACAACAACCTCCTCGATCCCCTACAGTCCGGCTTCCGTCCCCTACACTCCACCAAAAACCGCCTTACTCAAACTCTCAACGACCTGCTAACCGCCAAAGCTAATGGCCACTATTCAGTGCTCCTACTCCTTGACCTCTCTGCGGCCTTTGACACAGTCAACCACCCCCTCCTCCTCCAAAAAACTACACTCCCTCGGCCTCAGAGATTCTGCTCTCTCCTGGCTCTCATCCTACCTTTCACAACGCTCCTTCAGCGTTACCTATAATGCTACCACCTCACCCCAATACCTCACCCCCCCTCACTCCCCCTCTCTGTTGGGGGTCCCTCAAGGCTCTGTCCTTGGGCCCCTTCTCTTCTGGGGGAATCTCCATCTACACCTCCTCCCTTGGCCAACTCATACACTCTCATGGCTTCAACTACCACCTCTATGCCGACGACACACAAATCTATCTCTCAACCCCCCACCTCACCCCCTTGGTCTCTCTGCCCGAATCACACACCTACTGAGCGACATATCTGACTGGATGTCGCTCCACTTTCTTAAACTGAACCTCTCCAAAACCGAGTTTCTTGTCTTCCCCCCCAGCCCGGACCCCACCCCCCCCATTGACTTCTCCGTCACACATCCAACAATGCTACCATCAAACCCCCCCGCAGGCCAGAGTACTTGGTGTCATTCTGGACTCCAATCTGTCCTTCCAGCCCCAAGTCCAATCTTTAACAAACTCGTGCAGACTCCACCTCCGCAACATGCAGACTCCACCTCCGCAACAATCGCCAAAATCCGCACGTTCCTAACCCAGAAACCACTAAACAGCTCATCCACTCCCTCATCATATCACGACTAGACTACTGCAACTCCCTCCTCACTGGCCTCCTGGCCTATCCCTGCTTCAGTCGATCCTGAATACGGCTGCCAGACTCATCCACCTCACCAACCGCTCCATCTCCGCCACCCCCCTCTGCCAATCCCTCCACTGGCTTCTGATTGC